CGCGCGGAGTCAGCGCCTGCTTTCGGCGGGTCCGGCGGGGCCTGGCCGGGCTGCGCTCCAGGCGCGGGGCTCCCCAGGCACCGTCTTGTTTCGTCCCTCGTAGACCATCCCGGGCTGGCGGTCGTTCGAGGTGGGCGATGTCCGGTGGCCGGAGGCGAGGCAGTGCCCCCTGGCACAGCTTCTCCCGGTTCTTCGCTGCCCGAAATCCTTCCCGGGACAAGGAAGAGGAAGAGGAGGGGAAGCTGGGGACGAGCCAGCCGCCCGCCCTGGGCGGCGGCGCTGCCAGGTGGGAGCCGCGGGGGGCGCTCCGGGGTCTCTGCGGGGACTTGGAGGGAGAAGAGGGGGGACCGGACGCCCGCCCTGGCCGCCCACCCGGAGCCGATCCCGGACCAGGCTGCGGTTCCCTCGCCACTTTCTGTTCTCCTTCCTCCATTGCTGAAGTTTCCTGCTTCGCGCCCAGTTCCCGGAGCCCGATTGCGCTCCCTTTCCCCGGGGTAAGTGCGTGCGGGGCCGCCGGCCGGTGCATCCCCGGGTCCAGCCTCGCCACGCACCGCCCTCTCCCACCTCCCCCGCGGGACTCGGTTCCCGGTCCGCACACGCGTCTGCTCTCCAAGTTCTGTGGCAGAAAAAAAAAGCGACTTCCCTGGCGTCCCGCCGGCGGTAATGGGAAACACTTGTGAGCCCGGAGGAGTCTTCAGCCCGGGGAAGGGGCGCGCGATCTGCCAGCCGCTGGGGAGGGAGGAGATGGCGAGGGTGGAAAAGGTAGCTAGCTCTGCGGGGCATCCGCTCACCCGCACCCACCCCTGGGCTGGTATGCTGCCATCTAATTTAAGTTAATTTTTTTTGTACTGCCTGAAACTCCCCTAATAGATTCCAGAAACCGGGTCTGGATCTGCCTTGGTTTCAGTAGTTGTATCCTGCCCCATCTCTGTAGTCCTCGCTTCCCTCCACCTGCTTATAAAACCCAACTTTTGAGACAAGTGTCATTGAGATTCCTGTAGCTGAGTCTTTCCCTCTATCCTGGAGGAGGAAGACAAATTGAAACAACTTTTTGTGGGAAGATAAACTACCCCTCCCAATTGTACTAGAAGGAACGTGAACCGTTTATTGAAGAACACACATTGGAGAGCTGTCTTTTCCTCAGACCAAAAACGTTCATGGTGGGCCTTTAAAAAATGGATAGAGAAACGACTGTGACTGACCTGGTTCCACTGGTATTTAGGGTTTAAGGTGTGATGATGTAATTTTAGTCTTTTATGTTCCTCTACCTGTAGAACATTTCCATGATGGCCATCTGTTAGGAAAGTACATTTTTTTTTTTTTTTTTTGGTTTTCCAAGAAAATTCCAACGGTGGTAATTGACCAACCAGCCTCCTTGGAAGTTTCCGTTGTTAGTACAAAGACTGCTTGGGGCTTTAAACTTCAGAGTTACACAGTGGTCAAAAATAGTTTTGAAGTCTGAGAAGTCTCAACCAGGATGTCAGATAGAAGGGGCCTGAAGTGCCTGTTATCACAGTAAAAACATTGTCTTAGCTACTAGGAGTCAGAAGTAAACACAGCAAAAGTTGGAAACATGGGAAACAGTGTTTGAAGGAGTCAGTAGGCAATGTCAGGTTCCTATTAGCATTGTCTTGAAACCCTGCCCACCTCCTTTTGCCTTTTTAAGGAATTTCCCCATTCTGAATTCTTTTTCTGCCCTGACCACTAGCAGCAACTAGTTCCTCCTCTGCTTGTTGGATAGGCAGAGATCGTAGCTTTTTGACAATGAAGATTTTGATTGTGCTCATATGAACACTAATTTTGTCCTTATCTTTTATAGAACTTGCCAGATGTTAAGGGTTTAGCAGATAATCCCTTGTGTGGGTATTGTCACCATTTAAAAGTGAGCTTAAATCTTTCTTTTCAAGGATAGACACGAACACAAAGCCTTTATTGAAAGTGTAATGAAACAAATGGAAATGCTTAGAAGTGCCCAGTGTCCCAGAAACACAAGATCCTGGTGTTAACAAGACTGGAAACAGAATTGCAGCTTGTCACTGTGATCTTCTTTTAAAATGAGAGGGTATTTTGTCTGTGTCTCTTTGTGGCAGTTAAAACTAAGTGTTAATGAGAGCAGAATTCACCTTGTGTAGTGGTGGTTTGGGGATAGAGGAGTCAGTTCAATAGACAGCATGCTTGCTGTGATAGGTAGGGGTGGCTAAGATGGCTGGCAATCTTTCAAGGATCTGTGGGAAGCTGAGAAGATCATTTGAAAACAGTAATACTAATATATAACATGTCTAGCTCTTGGAATTTACTTGGTAGTTTAGTGTTATTGAACATGACCTTGGACAAACTGGAATAATCAGGATTTTCATTTTACTGCATTAAGGAGAGTTGCTCAAAAATCACACAGCTACTTTTCACTCAGTGGGCATATGTCAAATCCTATACTGTGCCTGCCACACTGAGGCCTCTTAATGTAGACATTAAGGATTAATGTCTACATTCTGGTTGATCTATGAACTTGGGATGAAGTGCATGCTCTCATACTTATATTGTACAGTCTTCTTTTCTACACTCCTAGTATTTACTTACATGCATTTTATAACTTAGCTAATCCATGTACAAATACCAAACAGCATAAATTGCTTAAGAACCGAATTCCTTAACAATTTCTTAAGAACAGAATAAAAAATTAAACACTAATATTACCACAAAACAAATGAAAGTCAAATCTACTCTATTCTGACAGTTGTTTAGAGGTTACCTACCAAAGGTATATGGTTCAAATTGGATAGATAAAGTCTTTCAGAGGTTGCTATGAATGTACTGTATCCCAATACAAGTCCTCTATCATTTCCTATCTGAACCATAGAAAAAGGTTGTTTTTTTTTTTATGGTGTGCTCTGAGTTATTTGGGCTTCATTTGATGTGAACATTTATATATTTATCAAGTTTGTGCTGTTCTGTTCTCATTCATGTTCAGCACACTTAAAGGGTAATAAGCAATACCATTGTTGTATATTCAAACTATAGTGTGGACATTCAAGTTGATTGACTACATCCAATAAGTGCTTGTGTTAATCTAGAGTATACAGAAATTGAAATTGCAATCAGTTAATGTTTTCATAGGAAACTTGAGAACTAATAGAGTTCTGTAGATTCCAGTTTGAGAATTATTGCTGAGAATGAAGCCCAGTCTGAAAACACAAAGACAGGAGTGCTCAGAAGTGATGAGGAGTGCAAAGGGGCCTCATTGTCTAGTTGATTTAAATGACCTTCACACATTGGTGAGGTTCCTTTGAGTAGAAAGCCTATCCTGCAGGACAGAGAGGAGTTGGGAACTGTTATTACAGACTGAGCAGAGGCCTGCTGGGTTGGATGGATGGCTTGCTTGAGGTTATATGTATCAGTGGGATGTAGTGAAAGAAGCAGTCAGAAAGTTACTTTTGCTAAGTCAGAAAGTTCTCTAAACAGAATGTTTGGCTCTTGATTTAGAGTTCAGAGAATTTTGTCAAAAACCTATTAAGCAGCTGTTACTAAAATATTGCCTTATTTCATCAGTTTTGAGAAAGTGATTGCTCAAGTTTGTTTCTTTGCTGGTTCATCTTTTGTGGACATGTTTAAGCTTAGCTCCACTCAAAGTTTGTAACTCAGAAGGGAGATAAGAAGGCGTGAACAGTGTCAATTAAGGATTGAATGTGTGCTTAATCAGGGCTGGGTATTTTTAATAACCGCATCTGATTTAAACCACACTCATAAAGGTAGTTCACTTATCACCCTCTTTCAGTTGAAGTATCTGAGGGTGGGTGAATGCTTAGTTATTAGATGCTATCTATGTATTGGGCGTAACAATTCTTTAAACTGGACCTTCTTGTCCATTGCAGGACGTTGACACCCATGAACCTCTTTCCTTACAAATTACTAGTAGCATCCTCTGGCTGTTGTGATAACTCAAAAACACTTTTGCCCAGGTGGGTGGGAGGAAGAGAGGCATCGCTTCTCCCTAGTGGGAGTGACATTGTATCATGAGAGGAGTTAAGTCTTGGGGGTAAATTGAATTTAGGTAGGTCTGACTCTAAAGTTTTAGTACTTTTATTTATTTTTATGCTCTGGGCGTGACAACTCAACATTTATAATACCTATTCCGGAAGTGGAAGATAGGGGTTCAAGGCCAGTCTGGTGAAGTTAGTGTCAGACTCTCTGGAAAAAAAATAGAGAAAACTAAAAGGACTGGGGGCATGGTTTGAGTGGTAGGATGATTACCTAGCAAGTATGAGGCTTTAATTCAATCCCCAAGGGAAAACAAAACAAAACACAGTAAAGCCAGTCACTGGTGCTTCTAGCAACTCAGGAGGCTGAGATCTGAGGATTGTAGCTTGAAGCCAGCCCAAGCAGAAAAATCCAAAAGTCAAGCTGTGGCTCAAATTGGTAGTGCTAGCCTTGAGCAACAATGCTCAGGGACAGTGCCCAGGCCCTGAGTTCAAGGCTCCCCTCCCCCAACCTTCTCCTCCAGACACACATGTAAAAAAGAAGAAAAAGCCTTACATTGTATATGTAAGTCATTGGAACCTTCTTCACTTCCAGATCTGGTAATAACAAAGCTCATTTTAGGTATATTCTTTTTTGCTGTTAATTTCAGTGACCTGATACAATGACATTAATTGCAAGAATGTAAGACCAGATCCCCAGACCTAGGGGCAGTGGCTTATGTCTTATTTCTCATGTAAGGATCTGGTATGTTGATTGGACTGTGGATTTACAGTGATTTTACTGTTCAGGAATAGTACATTCTCCACTCTAGTAAGTGGACTTTCAGAAGCAAGATAGGATGGGTGTTTTTACTTGTCACCAAGGCTGAGGGTGATGAATGATGGGTTAAGGATGATAATGGGATATAGTATAGGAGACTTTTTTTTTTTTTGCCAGTTGTGGGGCTTGAACTCAGGGCTTGGGCACTGTGGCACTGTCCCAGAGCTTCTTTTCCTCCAGGCTAGCACTCTACCACTTGAGCCACAGTACCACTCCTGATTTTTTCTCTTTATTTGGTACTGAGGAATTGAACCCAGGGCTTCATGTATGCTAGTCAAGCAAATGGTAGAGATCACTAAGCCACTTTCCCAGCCCAAGGAGACATTCTTGTAAGAAGTGTCTACAGTGTCTTTGATGACCAGCCTGAGACCTGCAAGCCTTTAGGTTAAGCTTACCAACATCATCCATTATATGAGAAAAACAAACATTATTATTTATTCTTTCCTTAAGATTGCATTTGCAGGCTGGGAAGGTGACTCAGTGGTGAATGCT